TATGTGCTTCCATTTGGCACAAACTCAAGTGTCTTAGTTACTCTTCTCTCATTGCTAAGACAAAATACCTGACACTCAAAGTTCAAGGGGAAAGGGTTTATTTAGCTCAGTTTGTAGATGTTTCAGTCTATAACTGGCTGGCTCCAAGGCAGAGTGGCATGTGGTAGAGGGGAGTTACATGGTGCCCACATGGTAGCAAAAGCAACAAGGGACCTTAACAGCATCTTTTTGCCCTTTTATCCAAACTACCAGGATTAGGGCAGTGCCGAGCCAATCTGTGTACTGATTTAGTCATCACACACCTTTAAACCCAGCATCACATACTCTAGATTCAGCCACCTCTGACAGAGATGAGGCTTTGGGAAGACATCTAGACCCAAACTATAACATTCAGATTTAACATGAAGCACAACAGTAGTATTATGCCAGGATAAAGCTACACTTTGTTAAGTGATTTAGTTGTCTAGCAGGTTACAGAAGAGGACTTTCCAAACTGTTTTAGAGTACAATCCAATCCATAGAACATTCAAAAGAACTGATTGCTATGGTTCTGATGTCAATACTCCAAAGGCTCATGTGTTGGAAGCTTGGTCCCCAGTGTGGTGATGTGCAAGGTGGTGGAGACTTTAAGAAGTAGGCTTTAGTGGGAGGCGGTTAGATCATTTGGGACACTGCCCTCAGAAACAATTAATCTTGGTCTCCGAGAGAGTTCCCCCAAGTGGGGGTTATAAAAAAGACAGTAAGCCTGACCCCCGAATCTCTACCTTCCTGTCTTACCATGTGATCACTTTCACATATACTGCCACCACTGTAGTATCTTTCCCCATGAGGTGCTCACTAGAGCTGAGCAAAAGCCAGTCCTGTGCTCTTGGACCTCCAGAACTGTGAGCTAAATAAACCTCTCTCCTTTACTAATTACTCAGCCTTGAGTATTTTATTACAGCAGTGAAAAACAGACTAATATGCTGATTAAAGGTCTTATTGTCAAGTGTTTCCTCTTAAAAAAATGAGGAAAGAAAACTAAAGTTAACTGTAGTTACGCACATGGATAAAGTGAACCACTAAATTAGTGTTCTCTTTGCATTACTTATATGGAGAAACGGCAAATGTCCAGTGAAAGAGAGGCTGACAATATTAACTTGATGTAATCTTACTATTAGGTGATAGATTTGTAAATCACCAAAACATGGACACATTTCTATGAAACACTACACAGGAAGTCCAAGACAGTACTCATTCTCTGATGACAACTATGAAAGAAGTATGAATCTCCATACTGCATTTTTGGCCAACATCCAATCAAACATACTAATTGTCAAACTGATCATCCATAGGAAGACCAGGAAAAGGAATGTTTTTCATTTATCAAGTTCAAAAGCTGCTCAAGTAACTCAAATGAAAATCCGTTGAATTTCACAAGTTTTTATTCAGGTACAATATTTACTTGGCTAGAGGGAAACCTATGATAGGATAACTTCAATTTATTTACTTTATTGAGTATAAATACAAAGCTTTTACTGGCTTCACTTATATGCATACCCACTTTATCCGTCTTGTACTCCTATATTTATACACACTCATCCCCATTATGTGTTTTGTTTGTTTTGTGGTACTGGGGGTGAATGCAGGGCCTTCACAATGAGATACATCTCCAACCCTTTTTATATGTTTAAATTTTAAGATAGTTTAAATTTGAGATTACTTAAATTTTCTAATTACTGAATTTCCTGAGCTGGACTCAAACTTGTGATCCTCCTTCCTCAGCGTGTCAGAGGGCTGGGGGATACCTGAGCCCAACCATAGTTTAAGATTCAAGATCTCATTGCAAGAGCCATAAAATTTAACGCCAAAGGTTATACATTCTATTTTGTTTACTTTCATGCCTAGTCTCAAAGTGAAAAAACAAAGATACATTACAGTGTGAGGTGAGAGGGAACACAATTGTACGCTGACTAGACAATTTAGCAATTCAATGATTTTAACAACCTATTAACTTTTGTTACAATCTTTTTAGCAAAAGTTTATTAGAGTCATCAATATATTCAAATCTCCTCAGGGCCAGGGATTTAGCTCAGAGGCACAGTACCTGCCTTGCAAGAGCAAGGTCCTGAGTTCAATCCCCAGTACCAAAAAAAACCAAAACAAAAACAAAAACAAACAAACAAAAAATATATATATATGTCAATCTTACATGTCCAGTTCAGTTTTCAGAAATATTCAAGAAATTCTGCCTCAAGATGCCTAGATATCCTTGAACATTTGCTTCCTATCTATTTTACTTTATACTTTTTAGAGGTTATTATAATACAGTTCATAGGTGGGCTGGGGGGATGAAATAGTATCCAAAATTCCATGTAGATAAGTATATTTGCTAAAAAGATTTTAACAAATCCATGCTTGCCAGCAGATTTTCAAAGAATTCCATGACCTCAAAATAGGTCAATCTAAGCAGTAATTATATCCCAGTTGATAATTAATCACTAAGTAAAATAAGGCATTTCTCCCACAGAAATGAAGGTTCATACGCTTTATGACTATCCCACCTCTTGATAAATCCCTGGACTAAAAGCAGGAGTTTTAATTTAAAAGATGTATACAAATCATTCTGTATTAACAGAAAAGGTCAGTTAGCATCTCCTTACCAAGATCCACCTGCCATAACGTGGATTACACAGGTGATATAAAGCTTTCTTTTCAACAATCATTTGCACTTTTTTTTGCGATAATTAAAATTTGTTCAAATTTTTCATTTGTTTTACCAGCCAAGTTACCAAAGACACAAAATGGCCAGTGTAATTATTCTTTTATCAAAATAAAAAATTTTCATCTTCGTAAATAGGCGAGGGTTGAGGGATAAAGAGCAGGGATATGAGGAAAAAATAAGAATCAAGATCTGTCATGTAAAGGTACAAGATCCCAATGATGAATTAACTGTACCGTATACTTAAAAAGCACCAGTAAACTACTTACAAATGAAAAAAAACTTGACTTTCAGTACTTCAAAATAAAATTCTTTTCAATGTCAATGTAAACAGCATTACTCATCTAAAACAGAAAAAGTAGTCCTTTTTCTGGTTTCTGTAAAATCTAAGAGGCATTTGTCACTATCAAAACCATTAGCAGGACTTAAGACACAATGTTCCAAAACCAAAATTGACATGACTTTTACAGGTAAGTGATAAAATCTACGCTTCCCAGGGAAAGAAAAAGATCACATTTACAGTTTGTATTTAAGATTCTGAAAATAACGCCCCTCGACTAAAAATCAAAGTTGAAGAAAAATCAGAGAATAACTATTCTTATTTCAAATCAAGGCAAAAATACATTCAAGGTTGTTCACGTTCAGCTTCTTGACTATTTCCTGCTGTAGGTATCTATTTTCTCCACAGAAACTTGATCCCAAAAAATCCCCTTTAAAGTGATTTTAAAATTACCTTCCAATGTCCTTTTATGCAGACTGAATTTTTCATCATTTTAGGAAAAGACTAGTCCCATTCATAACCTACAATCTCAACCTACAAGAGGAATGTGTTTCTTTCCAGAACCTTAAAAAAAAAAAGAGCAAACTCGATGAAAGAGCCCTGCTGCCACGTCTCTCCCCCTCCCCCACTCACGAAGTGGCTACTCCATCCCTCCCGAGTGCATTCCTAGGGTAAATCCAAGAGCCTCAGCTCTCGGAGAAACAGTTAAGTCGAAATTGGCAAGCCTCTGGCCTTTTAGATCCATTCCTAAAAGGGGGACCTAACTGCTTTTTCCTCCCTTTCTTGAGACAGTGCAAAGTTCCCTGAGTCTTCTCCACTCTATGCAGAACACATAAGCACTTAGCGTCCAAAAGCTGAGCTTTGTATTTCATAGGTTGGATTATTCAGGAGAAATAATTTCATACTTATACCATCCATCCTTCCTTCCCCTTGAAACATTATGGGGCGGGGATCATATAATCCAGCTCAAAATTCTCACTCGGCCGTGGAACGTCTGACTGGGCTTAACCCCTGCAAATTCGTGGTGAGGGCGCTTATGTGCCTTTAAAGAGTCATGGGGACGGAGAGGGAAGGAAGAAGCCCAGCTTCCCCAGCTGAGTGAAATGACAGCAACTTCCCCAGCTCCGGCGGCAGCGAACTCCGCGCCCCAGGCTACGTCTAGCTGCAGAGGCGGCACCGCGCCGCGCAACAGATGGGTTCAGCCCCAACTGTCGGAGTCGGTCCACCTCCCCGACCCGACGACTTTCCATCGAGGGGAACAAAAGCTTGGGAGCCTCAGCTTCGGCTCAGAGCGTTCGAATCCGCTCTCCAGGGCCACATGCTAACCATCTGCGGCGGGCGGCGGCGGCCGAAACCCACGCCCCGCCCTCGCGTTCCTCTCAGCTCCTTAGGGAGGACCAGGTAGAAGGGACCTCGGAAAGACCTACAGGGCGCTTCCCCGCCGGGAAGGAACTTTCAAGAAGTCCTGGTCCCGGGGCGGGGACAGAGGCTGCTGCAGCCCTGACAGCGGAGGCGGGAGGCGGGTCCGGAGCGGCTAT